TTTTTTTCATTCATGCATCATATATTTATTGGGGCACCTTATTACTTGTCAGAGCTCTGGGTTCAGAAATCTCAAAAGTAAATAAGAAAATTCTGCACCCTTCTTTAATTTCTCTTCTGAACTGTTTAAAAAAATCAACATAGGGTGTGATTTCAAATGGTGGACAATGCTATATAATTTTTTTCTCCAGGGTAATGACAGAATGAGGCAGGTGGGTACAATTTAGATGGAGTCATTCCAACCCAGTTTTGTCCTTCTGAAGTGAAAATAATGTTTTCTACATAACAGACCCTTAATATTTTGATTCAATTTTAATCTGAGAAAATTTATATATGATTAAACCCAGTGTTATATGAAATAATTATATTTGATATATTTATTCTTGAAATTATGATAAATGAGTGACAAATTTAATTCTTAAACACAAAAAGCTGTATTCACTGAAGAATAATTTTTCTCAAAAGCCATAAAATTCACTGATTTTCATGAGGCTGTTAGTTTTCTGAAAATTGATTCAAAAATTATTGTGCAAAGTACCTGTTTTTAAGTATAATCATTTTCACTTGTGAATATGAGAGGGAAAGATTATAAGTTGTCAAGAATTTCCATAGCTCTCCCCATGACAGAATGATGGGTCCATATGTTGTATTTAAAATCCAGCTGAATGGATAAAAATAATGTTTAACTTCCATAGTCATTATGAGCTGTAGTAATTTATCGAACCCTTCAATCAGCAAAGAAACAAAAGATGGGAAATGACTCATTTCTTCATGTGTTGTCTACATATTGCTCTTCTGATAATTGGATGATCGGAAGTATAAAGAAAAATTGCATTAATGCATTTTAAAGAAAAGGCAACCACAAAATATTTAGAAAACAAAAACCATATGCTACAAAAGGCTGCAAGCATTCAAATCGATGATGTCACGAGAAGCATACAAAAACTATAAGGGAACTGCAGAAAAATAAAGACATCCTAAGACAAAATGAAAAAGACAAAGCCGTCAGTGTCTCTGAAAATCCAAAATGAAATCTTACATATATTCACAGACTAGAGAGACCAGGAGGGGAAGGGGAAGGCAGGGGGAGAAAGGGGATCCAATCACAATAAACTACATATAACCCCTTCCTAGTGGGATCGACAACAGAAAAGTGTGTGAAGGGAGACAGCGGTAGGTGTAAGACATGGAGGTGGGGGATATAAGTTTTCTTTCTATTTTTT